TCATATTAATTCATATTAATTCATATTAATTCATATTAATTCATATTAATTCATATTAATTCATATTAATTCATATTAATTCATATTAATTCATATTATTTTCCTTTCTGAGTCTATAACTATGTAAGACATGCCATTACTTTGTCGATAAAAGCCATGCGAGAGGCGATGGCAATAGTCATAGCTGAATACGGTATGATTTAAAAAAAATAAGGGGACGGCGCCCTAAAATATCTGAACCGACGAGCCGACAGAGACGAATTCTTCACCTTCCAGTGCTGCTGTTGTTATCTCTCAGTATGCTCTGCATATCTGGGGCATTCAAGAAGAATCGCATCCAAATCGAAGTCGAAAGCAAACACATCCATATCTCTGTTAGACGACTTCTCAATAAAGCCGCCCTTACCATTCTCATCTGAGTCCTAAACATCCTTCTAACTACACACCATCCCACCTCAAAGACCGATAAAGGAGTTGCTCCCATTGCAAATGGGAGCTTACCCCATTAATTACCAGCCATCACCCACAATAAATTTACGACACTGTCTATACCTGTAAAGAGGAAATTAAGTCATACAAAGTTAGGGTTTTGGTGTATGGGGGACTGTCGCTCTAATGGGGTTATACATCTTGGGGGATAGGCGGCCGAGGTGTGGAGCGAGAGTAGGAATAGATCTCTGAAGACCATGCTGGGACTAACATTTTCGAGGGGTTTTCAGCTTTGGAACGTTTGTGGGCGCCAAAACCTAGATTTTGGCTGACTAGCCAGGAGGGCTTCTATTGTCGATGAGTCAACGGCACTCCCCAGCGCCCTGGACGGCATAAAAGAAGTTTGGCTGAGCTACCACACAGCAACCAAGCTCTGTTAATACTTTTCTGAAATTTCAGCACGACCTTCGGGAAGGAGTTGGAAGGAGGCTAGAAAGGGAGAGTGTGAATTCTCCGAGGTACTCACAAGTCTGCAGCGCCCAGCTGGCCGGCCTCTTCGAACGCTTCAGAAGGATCATTATATTTTCGGATTTAGTCCTTATGTCGGTATTAGTAAAGCTCCGCACCCAGTGGTTTTTGCGATTTTTCCCGGCTGTCATACACCTGCAAATGGCCAACATTTCGTTGGCTGGAGGGTGAAGGGCTCCCCTAAGTGTATGATCGAATGAGAACTTGTGAGGGGCGGTACTGTTTGAGGGGAGCTATATGGGAGGTATAGGAGGCAATATACTACTGATATATGTATCCTTGGCCTGTAGGCAGAGAGGACCTGCATGTCCTACATAGTCATAGACTCAGAAAGGATAATAAGATGAATTAATAACAAATGTCGTATTGCGAGATTTGTCTGAACTTGGCTCTATGAGAACATTTCACCCTCAGGTCCTTAGAGGACCACTGGCGTCTATGTCTAGTACTAAGTAGGGAGCAGGGGCCATAGTCTTGGCATGGCGTCCCATTGGACGTGAGATAATAAAGCAAAACAAACCATCCACCCCTATGTGTCATATTTCCTACTCAGGATTTATGTTAGATGGGCGTAAATAATTAACCATAAATTTTAATTATCCATCGCAATCCTGAGTATCAACACGAGTTACAATAATATGGCATGTTTGTACGGATCGATAAAAAGAGAGAAATGTTAACATTGATCGTAGTTAGCTTCATGATCATGGTAATTTGGGTTAGTGAGGGGGGATAGAGATAACACGGATCGCAAAAGCAATTGGTAATACCAATTGCATTTTTGAAGATGTTACGCAGTCTCGGCTCTGTAGGCTCTTCAGTGGAGGTTGATATTTGTAGGGACATTACCAACGGGTATTGAGAGTAGTCCTCTGAGGAGGCACTTTTTTCTTGGAGGAACAGAAAACAAACAACTGTAGCTACAGCAATGGTAGAATCTAAATATATTGCTTCAGCATACAATTCCCAGCAATGACAATGCATAACTCAAATTTTACGAGATACAGGGTTAGGAGGGAGTTTTAAAGTGAATGGAAAGTTATGAGGGAAGAGCGACTATCTTCTCATCAGGCGTCGGTAGACTTAAAACACTGGAAAACAGCAAGAGTCGTCACCGACAAGAGAACAGGCAGAAAAAGGGTTATCTACAGAAACACACCCTCTAATATCCACCGAAACCTGAGCAGGGCCCAAATAAGTATCGCAATATAGATGAGAAGTGAGAATATTGGCCTCAATTCTTATCTATATAGAAGAAAGGTCTCTGGAGGGGCAAATCTAAAATTCCAGTGTGGATATTCGTCATAAAACATGAAACATGTGGTCCTGCCTTGTCCTCAGTGGGCTGAGGGAAGAGGATAGGTGCTGCGATAAGCAAAATAAAGGTCTTTAGGAGCTATGAGGAATAGCCCGGATGATATGAGAATTATAGAGTGGATACTTAGTAGAGGCTGTTTTAATAAGTTCCGGCTTGTAGAGGAAGTTAAGATAGCAGTCAATGAAGGGATGGCGCGATCAGGAAAATTAGAGGACTGAATTCACACTGGATCAAGAGTGTAAACGCACTTCCTGAAGGGTAACCTGGAAATCCGTTAGGAAAAAGACGGATAGGATCGGGGGTTTTTTACCGAATTGGTTTCCTCCCTTGTAAATATTAAAAAAAGATATACCTGCAGGGACCCACATGGTACCTGAACGGGCTAAATGAAATCAAATCAAATACGGGAAATGGATGTTACGATTACAGGAACCATCAGACAGTGGAGTGGTGCGGGGATAACTAAGAAGCAATTGCCCTGTCAGGAAAGTCTGCTTAGTCAGCCTGTTCGTAAGGTGAGAGCTGACCACATGCCCACTAAACGTTATGGCCTTCCCACCTTGTACTATATGATTCATACCACACATCCTCCACATACTGTATATTACCCTCCGAATTATCTTACCCTCACGATTTTACTTTCTAAATACCGCAAAATTCCCTTACTGATAATCTCCACCTCACTGAGCGCTCGAAGCACATCGATATCTCCAACCACTTTGTTAGTGATTTTTATAAAAACAAGAATGTAAACCAAAATTATGTTCCGATAAATTTGGCTACGAATGGGTTTTCAAAGCCACTGCCTGAACAAAAGTTCAATAATTGAATGTGAAAACTAGATTTTTTGGTAAAACACGAAGTAATACAAATCGGATGCCGTCACCGAGTTGGTGACAAAAGTAAATTCATAGATATCTCTAAATACAAATATCTTCACCTCTGTCCCCTCTGATCTTCTACTCCAGGCGCCTGGCTAATAAGCTAAGTCATAGTCCTGACTACATCCCGAACATCAAAAGTTTATAGAACAATTCATAACGCCCAAATATGATCCTTTTACTGACAAGTATGATACCAGTGTGATAATTAGGAAGGCCCTAAAAAATCAAAATCCTTAGGACATAAGTTGAGAATTCAAATTATAAAATTGGTACAGCTTATGGTGATTTTTGGCCAATGGATGATTATTGTATTGTAAGACTGTTGTACAAACATAGTAATCCCTGCACCTCCACACAATGGAGTTGGGGTTATGATTAATACTGATCTGGATGGCTATTTATCATGGGCAATATATCAGAGATCTTTGGAGTAACGAAGGGAGATAGGAGCACTGTTAAATGTGCGGTCTGGGTCAAAGATAAGCTCAATGTGCTAGATATTCATAGATTCAAGTACATTTACATCTAATTTGAGTCTACGACTATTGAAGTATAGATTCAAGTAGGACAAAAGATAATACATACTTAGGGCGCCAGATAAAGCTAAAGGGTTTTAAACTCATATTCGTTTTCGGCGCCTGCGTATACAACACACGACATGAAAGTTCTATGTAAACATCAGACTTATCTTACCCCGATCAATCGACTCAAGGTCTTGTATATGTCCTTTTCTCTCGGTGGAGGATAAGTTGGTTCCTTGGTCAATGCGCGACCCATCGGAATGGATCCTGTTTCGTTTACGGACGATTTACAATCTACACATCCTTTCGTCAGTTTGAGAATTGCACAGTATACCTCTCTGGTTGGATAAGTAAATTGGCCATGGTTCACTGTTAAAGGCAAGCGCTTGACGCAATGATATCGCGGCAGTTAATTAAGGACCGAGTTTGGGCTAAATGCTACTATTTTCACAATATCCTCTGAAATGAATTAAATGACCGAAATTTTTTTAAACTTCTTTGCTTGCATAGCTCGATACTTTATATCTATGGCCATAATGGCCAGATTAATGGCTCAAGATCCGGTGTTTGGATTGCTTCGAGTAAATTATCACACTTCGTTGTGATATACCGCATATGTTGTAGGAGTTATGCGGGTATTTAAAACACTTATAACAAGATGCACTTACGTACGCCAACAATTGATCAAACTTAATACTTTTGCAGGAGACTCGGAAAATAAGGAGTTGCCGATGTGGCCCTAGCTATGCGTGAAATGTGGCCATTATTGGCGAGTTTGACCGTGCAGTAGTTCCTGAAAAAATCAACCTAGTCACCATAAATAAATTCACCCGTGGTCAAATTCATGATTTTTATGAACTTTTGAAAATTATTGATCATCAGCAACTATTTTATCTCTCCTTAAACGTTAGGTGCTTTGAATTTCACCTGATTGATCTCGCCCGTGCATCTTTCAAGAACTTGATATTTGATACTCCAGGCGAGCCGGGCTGCAAGCTTCAGGTCCATGCGCAGCTCCATACACACGCGCTAAGCGTTATGCAAGCACATACAAGCACTCAATTTATGGATCTGACTACCTCCTGCCTACCTGTGTTAGCCCCACACCCCCCCCGATCATTGCAGCTTTGAAGCCAACGAACCCACGCTCAACCATAATCATAACATCACCTTCCCACTACCACTTGCTACTTTGCAGTCAAAAACCAACATAGTAATCAATAATTTTGTTAATGAATGAAGCCTACTACCATTGCAGCTCTTGTTCCCCAGAGTAATCTGGAATTGAGAGACCATATCCATTGGATAAAGGTAGTCTAGATGGCTCACACTTATGATGTTGGAACAAAAGCGTGGCAGCCAGACGCCACAGAAGGCTGGGTGGCATCCGAATTGACTTCGCAGAGAAAAGAGGGCAACAAGGTCTATCTAACCTTCACTCTAGAGAATGGCGAGGTTCGTCTTCCTGCCAACCAATGTTCATAATCAACTCCGTCTTCGCTTCGACAGTGCTAAAATCATAGATTATGGCAGATCAGAATTATTGAAACAACTTCCGAGATGCTGGAAAAAAACAGTGATCCGAACCTACCCCCCCTCATGAATCCAGCCATGCTCGAGGCAAGCGATGATCTAACAAATTTATCTCATCTGAATGAGCCTGCAGGTAAGACATGCTGAGACTAGTCGTGCTGTGTGATACTTAGTGGTCAATTATAGTGTTACAGGCTATCCGGCTACGATATCTACAGAAAGAAATTTACACATATAGCGGAATTGTACTTATAGCTACAAATCCCTTTGCCCGGGTGGATTCGCTTTATGTCCCGGGTATGGTTCAGGTATACGCTGGAAGACAGAGAGAAACGCAGGCTCCACATCTTTTTGCAATTGCGGAAGAAGCCTTTGCGTATGCATCACAAGTATCTTGTATATCACAACGAGCTAACGGTCATCAGTGATATGTTAAGAAGCGGAAATAATCAGACTGTGGTGGTATCTGGAGAGTCTGGTGCCGGAAAGACAGTTAGCGCCAAATATATTATGCGATACTTTGCTACCAGAGAAGCGCCAGATGACTCTGGCTCCAAGCCAAAACGGGGAACCGAAGCAATGAGTGAGACTGAGGAACAGATTCTTGCTACTAACCCCATCATGGAATCTTTTGGAAACGCTAAAACCACGCGAAACGATAACTCTTCTAGGTTTGGAAAATATATTGAAATTATGTTTGATGAGAAAACCACTATTATCGGCGCAAGAATAAGAACCTATCTTCTTGAGCGATCCCGACTCGTCTTTCAACCTTCAAGAGAACGAAATTACCATGTCTTCTATCAGATGGTCGCAGGTGCATCAAGTGAAGAACGCCAGCAGTGGAGCTTGTTGACTGTGGAGGAATTTACCTATCTAAATCAAGGTAATTCTACGACAATTGATGGAGTAGATGATAAAGCCGAATTTGAGGCATTAAAAAAATCCTTGTTGACTATTGGTGTAAATCCTAATCAACAGGCGGCTATATTTAGGTTACTAGCAGCATTACTACATCTTGGTAATGTTAGTATTATGCCCACTCGATCTGATTCCGCTTTATCGTCAACTGAGCCGTCTTTGATTAAAGCAACAAACCTACTAGGAGTTGATCCAGTCGAATTTGCCAAGTGGACCGTGAAAAAACAATTGGTAACTCGAGGAGAGAAAATTGTATCCAATTTAACCCAACAGCAAGCAATAGTTGTCCGGGACTCTGTTGCCAAGTTTATCTATTCCAGTCTATTTGACTGGCTTGTAGAAAATATAAATCATGCTCTGGCTGCCGAGGAAGTATTAAGTCGGGTTAAATCATTTATTGGAGTCCTAGATATTTACGGATTTGAACACTTTGCTAAAAACTCTTTTGAACAATTCTGCATCAATTACGCGAATGAAAAGTTACAACAAGAATTTAATGCTCATGTCTTCAAGCTAGAACAGGAAGAATATCTCAAAGAACAGATAGACTGGACATTTATTGACTTCTCTGATAATCAGCCTTGCATAGATCTTATAGAAGGAAAGCTAGGAATCTTATCCCTCCTAGACGAGGAGTCAAGGCTTCCCATGGGCTCAGAGGAACACTTTGTCAACAAGCTCCACCAGCACTATGCGTCTGACAAGCATAAATTCTACAAGAAGCCGCGATTTGGGAAAACGTCGTTCACGGTCTGTCACTACGCTGTCGATGTAACCTACGAATCAGACGGATTTATAGATAAGAATCGGGATACTGTTCCAGACGAACATATGGCTATTCTCAGAGCTTCAAGTAACGAATTCCTTGGACAGGTCCTCGATGCGGCAATCGCTGTGCGGGAGAAAGATAATGCATCTGCGACTTCTGCCGCTGTAAAACCTGTCCCTGGTCGCAGAATAGGTGTGGCCGTCAATCGAAAACCCACATTGGGGGGTATATTTAAGTCATCATTGATAGAATTGATGCATACCATAAACAATACAGATGTTCACTACATTCGATGTATTAAGCCCAATGAAAGCAAATCGGCATGGGCTTTTGAAGGTCCTATGGTTCTCAGTCAGTTGCGGGCTTGCGGTGTCCTCGAGACCGTTCGAATTAGCTGTGCTGGATACCCTACCCGCTGGACATTCGAGGAATTTGCATTAAGATACTATATGCTTGTTCCTTCAACTGATTGGACCCCGGAAATTCGCCTTATGGCAAACAAAATTCTTACCAAGGCTTTTGGCACAAGTGAGGAGAAAGGATTAGACAAATATCAGCTCGGCTTAACAAAAATATTCTTTCGTGCGGGAATGTTAGCGTTCCTTGAGAATCTTAGAACTAATCGACTGAATTGTTGCGCTGGTATAATTCAGAAGACTTTGAAAGGTAGATTATATCGCAGTAAATATTTAAAAGCGCGAAAGTCTATATTGGACTTCCAGTCTGTGGCTAGAGCCCACGTTGCTCGACATCATGCCCAAGAGACCCGGACCATTAGAGCTGCAACATCAATTCAACGTGTCTGGCGAGGACAGAGAGAGCGAAAATATTTCCGTTCTATTCGGGATAATATAATTCTAGCACAAGCTACCTCAAGGGGATATCTGTGTAGAAGAAAAATTATGGATACGCGTATCGGAAACGCTGCAGTGATAATTCAAAGAGCATGGCGATCTCGAAAACAGATGAAAAGCTGGCAACAATACCGACGCAAGGTGGTTATAATTCAAAGTTTATGGAGAGGTAGAATGGCACGTAGGGAATACAAAAAAGTCCGAGAAGAGGCTCGCGATCTTAAGCAAATTTCTTATAAGCTTGAAAACAAGGTCGTTGAACTCACACAATCCTTGGGAACCATGAAACGGGAAAACAAATCTCTTCTTAGCCAAGTCGAAAACTACGAGAACCAGATAAAGTCATGGAAACTCAGACATAATGCTCTCGAATCTCGATCTAAAGAGCTACAAGGTGAGGCCAATCAAGCCGGAATTTCGGCAGCTCGTCTTTCGGCAATGGAAGATGACATGAAAAAGCTGCAATTTAACTTTGATGAGTCGGCATCGAACATCAAACGATTGCAAGAAGAAGAGAAAGAGTTGCGAGAGACTTTAAGGATATCAACTGCCCAGTTGGAGGAAACAAAAAAGTTAAGTACAGTCCATGAAACTGAGAAAATCAACCTTCGACAACAGCTTTCAGAGCTGCAGGACCAACTTGAACTTGCCAAGCGCGCAGTACCAACTTTGCCTGACTCTGCCAATGGCACCTCTACGCAACAGCTCCCTAGTGGTCTCATCAACCTGGTCTCTTCGAAAAAGCCAAAGCGGCGTAGCGCCGGAATCGAGCCTCGGGAATTAGATAGGTTCAGTGCAGCATTTAATCCTCGACCTGTTTCAATGGCGGCACCAGGCTCTAATCCGAGCCGTCAAGCGCTTAGCTCAACCTTTCTTCCTAGCTTAGATAACATTGAATTTGAGCTTGAGAATCTACTTGCTGACGAAGAGGCCCTCAATGAGGAAGTTACAGTGGGACTTATTCGAAATCTCAAGATTCCTGCCCCTACATCAACACCAGCTCCAACAGATAAAGAAGTATTGTTTCCGTCTTACCTCATTAATCTCGTTACATCTGAAATGTGGAATAACGGGTTCGTGAAGGAATCCGAAAGATTCTTGGCAAATGTTATGCAGTCTATTCAGCACGAAGTTATGCAACAGGATGGAGACGAAGCTATAAATCCAGGTGCTTTCTGGCTATCAAATGTACATGAGATGCTATCCTTTGTTTTCCTTGCAGAAGATTGGTATGAGGCTCAAAAGTCAGATAACTATGAATATGATCGCCTTCTAGAAATTGTCAAGCACGACCTTGAGAGTCTTGAATTTAACATATATCATACGTGGATGAAGGTTCTTAAAAAGAAACTGCACAAGATGATTATCCCTGCCATAATCGAATCCCAGTCACTTCCAGGCTTTGTTACGAACGAGAGCAACCGATTTTTAGGTAAATTGCTTCAGAGCAACTCTGCACCAGCCTTCAGTATGGACAACTTATTAAGCTTATTAAACAATGTGTACAAAGCTATGAAGGCCTATTACCTCGAGGAATCTATCATAACACAGACCGTTACGGAGCTTCTAAGGCTGGTTGGTGTAACAGCTTTCAATGATCTTCTTATGCGCAGGAATTTTCTCTCCTGGAAGCGAGGACTCCAAATAAACTACAATATAACTCGTATTGAAGAATGGTGTAAGAGTCATGATATGCCAGAGGGAACCCTACAGCTTGAACACTTAATGGTAATATTCTTTGCAACAGTGTATCAGAATACTAATTGGATAATAGCAAGCAACCAAGCTATTGCAGCTCAAGAAAGCTACCTTAAACGATATTGAAATTATTCAGGATATATGTTGGATGTAATTCAATGCCGACTCCACTACTATCCCCAGAGCTCAAGACTGATATTCTCATAGGTTGTCTCCGAATCAGATTCAAAAGTTGTTGAACCAGTATCTTGTCGCTGACTACGAACAACCTATTAACGGCGAAATAATGAAAGCTGTTGCCTCTCGCGTTACTGAAAAAAGTGACGTGCTCCTTTTGACTGCCGTTGATATGGATGATAGCGGGCCATATGAAATTGCAGAGCCCCGGGTGATAACTGCGCTAGAGACATACACACCATCATGTAAGTTCTCTTTTATTATTATTTGAGAAAATAAGCAATGTGGTCGCATCCGTATCAAGATTGCTCCTGTTGGTACGCAAGCTAATGAGGTCATAGGGCTTCAAACTCCACGCTTAAAGCGGCTCGCGGAGATTGTATCAGCACAAGCTATTGCACAACAAGAAAAGCTCGAGACCCAGATTGATGAAGAACTCAGCGACAGCGAACTTAATGGGGCATAATTTGGGATTGAGCCTCTCCAAGTTACAGGAGCTGGTTAGAAAGTAACGTAAAATTTAACGATCTCACATTATAAAACATCACTTCTTCTCCAAACATCCTGGAGGTCTAAATTTGATCAGCTTTGGAGCACTTTGTATATTTGGAAGAATCTTGATTTTGAGCGTATTCGTGTTATGTAGGTGGGACAAGTTTTTGACATATGAACGTGGACGTTGTGCATGTAGCTCATTGTAAAAATGATACAGACCGGCGTTACTCAAAGATGGATATGGGAATGATAAAAACGTATTTTACGAATGCAAGTTGGCAAATTTGCGGTAGTAGAAATAGTCTGAGAAAGTTTTGCACACGTAATAGTTGGGTCCAAACTCTGCTGTGACTTCTCTGACCCGACCTCAGCCTCTGCCTTACTTATCCTCTACTCATAGTCACTGTTCGAATATGATTCCTCTGGACGGGTAATACAGTAGTACTGTTACTGGAATATTTGGAAGTAGATTTGATAAAGTATAGGGTTAAATCGTTGCGTGTGTCTTTGTCTCTACGTCTACGCGCTTAAAAGAAGTATCGCGACCTCGCACCCTTTAATGTATCGCTCCTAGTCTCATCCACACACTAATATGAAACTACTAATACAGGGTATGTAAAATCAACAGACGCCTTACCCTTTCTAACTCCTAGGCAACCAGTAACCACAACCCTAACTCCATTATGTTAAATTGTAGGGATGATTATGTTTGACCAACCCTTCTTATAATTTAACAGTCACAATTATTCTTCAACAATGCTCATGGTGAATCCGAAATATTTGTGCATATCCCACGACCACACCAAGTCTTCGACTGTCTGTAAAACCAATGGATATGTTTCTTTTAGTCCATGTGAGCAGAGATGTTTGTTGGGTGAGGCAAGGACATCATAGTAAATAACGCCGAGAGGCCCTTTGTTGGAAGACTGACTTTTGATTCATTTATCATGCTTAGGCGCCCTATGGGTTCGTGCAAGTACGTGAGTGAGTGAGTGTTTATTTTCCTAAAAAGTTTATAACTATGTAAGGACATGTAGGTCCTTTCTGCCTACAGGCCGGGAGTATCTATGCCTCAGGTAGTGTACTCCCTTCTTTGCCTCCCTCACGACTTCTTTTCAGCAGTAATGCCCCCACAGGTCTTCATTCGAGTACACACTAAGAGGAGCCGTTATCACGTCATTATTTCCCCTCTCTATCCAACGAAACGATGGCCATTTGCGGGTGTGTAGCTGTAGGGAAAAGTCTCAAAAACCACTGTGTGCGGGGTTCTCCTATGACGATGAGGCCAGCCGGGCGCAGAAGACCTATGCATACCTAAGAGTGTCTCTCAACCTTTCTAGCCTCCTCCAAACTCCTCCCCTGATTCATACCGCAGGAAAGACCGAAGGTTGTGAAAGGATGACAAACATTCTTGGTCGAGAGTGACTGTCGTGAAGGAGCCTAGCATAGCATCCAAAAGTCGTTACGGATGTGGGGTTGTCGAGTAACTCTTGTATTTCAGATGCCCTCCTGGCTAGTAGATTCGGAAGTTATGATTAGTAGGGACCACAATGTAGACAAGTCGAAATCCGCTTTTCTTGAGGGCGGAAGGGTCTTTTACTTTGCTTTCGTGGGCTTTTTGTTCGCCCGCCGGTGGGTAGCACATGTTGTGACATAACGGGGGCTTTTCTGACTACCGTTGTAGCGTTTGGTACCGCATTATCTTTCCCCATTCCTAGCATCATTATCGTCATCTTGGTCGTCTTGTGTGTTATCAGAAGCGTATCTTTGACGGAGGGGGAGATAACTCAGCTCAAAGTTGAAAAAGTGTTACTCAATCTCGGCTCTGCAGACTCTACAGTGGGAGCTGGAGGTTTGTAGGGGACACCACTGACAGGTATTGAAAATAGCGCCCCCAGATGAGCCTATTAGTGGAACGTTGGTACGAGCTAGGCTGAAGCATTCTTAGGGAATTCTGAGACTCTAGAAACAATACGCGTTTGTTCAACCCTATACTTTATCGAATCTACTTCCAGCCACACTGTTCTATCCATCTAAAGGAATCACAATCTAATACTACTATACATATTCTCTACATAACTTATCTTACCCTCTATCTATTCTCGCCACTGTGACTCCACTTTCTCAGTAATCCTAACACTATTACTAATTATTACCCATTTGTTGTTACATCTTGACAATCATTATTACCGCCCAAACTCCAGCATCCTTGCTTAATGCAAATCCAAATAAAACTTGTGTCCGATTATTCGACACATACCACTCCCAGGAGGACGAAGGCTGAACATCTGTCAGTGGTGTCCTCTACGAACCTGGGAGTGAAATATTCTTCCAGAGCCGAGATTCAGTCACGACAAAGGGTGAATTTGAGAGTTTTCGTCGAGTTGGCGATCGGGAGGAGTGGTGTTGGCTCACTTTTGGTCGAAAATCCGACTTGCAGAGATTTCACGACTGCACAACTCAACGAAATCAACCATCTACACCCCAGATATGAACCGCAGACAGCCTATAACCTGTCTGATGTTCGTATTACAACAACCGACACCTTCAAGATCTTATTTTCTATTTCTCTGGAAAATCACTCCTAGCCAAACTCATCTTGCGGCCCTCTCCACAATCATCTTATCACCTACCAAAGCAATCCCACACCTCCAAAAGCCAAATCGCCAACTAAGAAGCAAGAGGATTTCCGACCCTCCGCAACTGCCAGCCGCTGTGAAGGTACGGTCGAAATACCGGCCTTAAATGCCTCCTCACCTCGGCCAAGGGTACCAACAACTCGACCTACGACGAATCGCCACCGACGAAATAGGTACGAAATTTCGCCGGCACACTAACTAGAGCGTTCGACAAAGACTGGGGCACCGGTGCCTCGGTCTTGAGCTCTCAGTCGCGTTTTCGACCTCCATGGTTAGGGGTACGGCAGCGACGGGGCAATGCCGGAGGGGTGGACATTCTACAAAGTTTCTTGGATGATGATATCGGCTGAAGGATAGAGGAATGCTACATGAAGGAACTAAAAGGGGATACAAACTGAGGAGTCCGTGGTGGGCGACTGGATGAGGCCTCCAGTGAAGAAAACGACCCCTGGATGAGATGAGGAGATGCTGAGATGAGCTAAAGCTGGGCAAGAACCGAAAGGAAAAGTTACAGACTGCGAAGGTGTCAAGGGCTCGGGCGCGTGGTGGCCGAGGCTGGGGAGGAATTTGCGCTTCGGCGCGCCAAAAGGGGGTTCTCTGGACGGTTGGGCTTGACATGATTCAACACATTGGTGAAGTCTGAGGTGGTCCGGTCATTTAGGTGGGACGAGGTAGATGTACTTAATGGTAGTTAACCTGATCCAGCCCAGCCCCACCCGTGCTTAAGCTCCAGTAGGAGTGCAACTGGAATCACTTTACCTAGCACGTAAATGAACAAGACAAGACAAGACATACCGCTCCCAAAATCACTCTCCATCGTGAAGCGGGAATACCCCCTATTGAAGGAAGATATGGTTAGAAAACTGTACTGCTGGTAAATGCCTAAAGCTAATTGCGTATATTATTGTGCTAACTATTGAGTTCTACATTTACTATATATCCTATAGACCCTGGTTTAGCCCAGCTTATAAATCAAGTCACATGTCTTCTAAGGCTCAGTGACTGATACTTCAACACCCCCGGCATCGATAATTCTCTAGCAAAAGATGCTGCGGTCTACTGCTCGTATGTGTGATGGGCTATCACCAAAACAATAAGAACAAAGTAAGCTGGCTGTAATACAGTCTATTTTCTAATTATCTAGGAAATGGTATCTATCTAGGCTGTAGGACATATATACATGTAGCTCTGACCCCAGGGAGGTTAATATCCATCGGATCGGCGATCACTTATAATTCCATAAAAGTATTGTGAGGTTATGGATCGTAGAGGAATGCTGGAATGGTATAGGGAGGTGAAGGATATATGCCGAACAACGAAGCAGTTGAATAGAGCTTAAGGGTGAAGCTTGGTAGGGTGACACGAAGAGGGTATGAATAGGCCTTCAGAGATATTCAGTAAATGTAATGAACTGAGGATTTCTGGAGGAGGAGAACACTACATATATATGCAGGAATTAGTCCTACTGAGACGAATTTAGAAATAAGCCAGGATATGCGCCCATGTCCCAGTATGGCGACATTATCATAGTGAAGGTATGTCTTGACCACCAGTAGACCCCCAAGCTAGCTGAGTGTAAGACAGAATCATGCATATACCATAATTTCCAACATATCTTGTGTTAAGCGCCAAGACTAATGAATATTATAGAAAACAGATGTGGCGCAGTTGTTGTTGTTTTATTCAAGTCCTAAGCTAAAGCTCCAAATCCACTATGAATACAGGACCGATGTTCACAGCCAGAAATACATCTAAGACATACCCAGCTTGATTCCACCGCATGAACCACCACAAAACCAGCAGTAAGTTAAAAATATGCGCCGACGCGAACTCCTTTTCCCAAAACTGACAAAAGAAAAAGCTGAATTGCAAATAAGTTAGAATGGGAAGCAATACTCCTCGCCTCGATTCCCATTTTGTCAGGTTTAGTTTCCTGACGAGTTATATTCGATCTCCACTGAGAGTAGGAGATGGATGCACAGGAGAATAACCAAAACAATTGGTATCCTGCACAAATTATTTGAAGCTCTCGAAGCACTTAGGCCCGAGTAGCTTGTGTAAGAAGGAATTGTGTGACAATGACCCTCTGATTCGACGCGTGATATTTGCGTTGAGTCGACAATGTATGAAGTGGGTAGGGGTGGTTTCCTCCCCACAGATGCACTCTGTTATAGCGTGCGGATTGTTGAAGCGACGATGGTACGTCGCGAAATTGCCGTGGGCCGTACGGGCTGCAATGAGATGTCGTAACTGTAGTCTGGAAAGCCCCAGTTCTGGTGGTTTACGACGGCGCATGAGCAGATCTAGCTCACGATACCGTGACGGGCAAGTT